CATTTTTGTTAAATTTAGGCAATTTTCGGTGAGCTGGAACCAATTACCCAAAAACCCATTGAAACAATGGTTTCGGTTAACGAGGGACCACTGTATAGTGATTTAAGGCCGATTTCGGGGATTTTAGGAGTGTTTCTGATTTTATGCATTTTTTGGCTTTACTTTGTATGTACTTTTTTGTGAGTACAACCAATTGTGTTTGTTAATCAAGGGACCAATGTATTATTTTCGCATTTTCGACTTACGACCTGGATTTGGGTCCCTAACCCCGTCGTAAGTCGAGGAGCAGCTGTACTGTACTTGGGTTCATACAAAGTAGTGTTAGTTTCAAGACTAATGAGGTTATCCTAAAACTATATCTTGTGCTTGAGACCTCATTTAGATTATGCAGTTCAATTTTGGTCACTATACTACAGAATGGATATCGAATACAGAGGAGGATGACAAGACTAATCCCAGGCATTAGTAACCTTGAGTAAAGAGACAGATTAAAGCATCTGAATTTGCACTCCATCGAGAGACGTAGAATGGGGGGCATATGATTGAGGTGTATAAATGGAAGTCAGGGTTAAACAAAGGTGATATAACAAAGGTACAGTAAAACCTCGCTAAGGCGAACTATTTGGGGGGAAGGGGTGTCCGGGATAAGAGGTTGTCCACCTTAGAGCAAATTTAAAAAAAAAAGACCTCTATTTTAAACAAAAAACAAATCCAACAACAACAATGTATCCCATTTTTATGAATGAAATACATGTTTTGAATCAAAATTAATTAAAAGAGGTAATATATACAAATAACTGTACACTTACTCCCAAAAATGGAAGACAGATCCAGCTGGACATGCCTCTCACAGCAAGAGACTTGCAGTCACTCCGAGTTTGAGTGCTTTGAAATTCCATATTCAGCTCATATTTGTGAGGGAGCATGTCATCTTGCAACAAATTATGCCCCCAAAAAAAAAAAAATAATAATAATAATATTGTTCTTAGCAGGGTCCGCCTTAGCGAGTTTTACTGTATTGTACTTAAATTATCCAACCAGGAATGAACTCGTAGCAATGGTTTTAAATTAGACATATTTAGATTTAAGCACGAGATAGGTAAATACTGGTTTGTAATGAGAGTAGTGGATGAGTAGAACAAGTTACTAAACATCATTAACTCAAACATGCAGGGTAGCTTCAAATATAGGTTGGACAGATATATGAGCGATAAGGATTGGGGTTGCTGTTTCCTCCATTCTTATGTTCTTATAACAAATTCAGGGGGTTAGGGACTGGCCACCCCCCAAACACTCCCATCTACCCTTGATATATCTCTGTACTGTACCACACACTGTCAAGCAAGAAAATGAAGCAGACATATAAAGCAATCATTATAAGCATTAAATAAGGAATGTAAAACATAAATCGAGACTTATTTACCTGTGTTAAGGAAGGTAAAGACCGTCTATGGTGGCAAGTTCAAGTTTCTCCCAATCTTTGCCAGTCCATCACCACTCTTATTATGCCTTATCACATCACATCAAGCAGACACAAGAGGAACTATCATTGGGGCATTTAGGTATGATTGTCTAATACTAATTTGGAAATAAAATAAAGTCAGGTCTCCACCAATCTTTGCTGGTCCATCACTACTTGTATTATACTTTATCATGCCTAATCAAATCACATAACATCAAGCTGTCCCTAAGAGGAGTAGCATAAGAGGAACTATCACTGGGGCGTTTAGGCATGATTGAATAACACATGAAGTGGGAAATAATGAGTCAGGGGCAGCGCGCAGAACCCTCTCATGGCGAGAATTTGCATCACGCCACCATTCACCAAATTCAAAACAGCTCTGCCTCTCCCAACCGTCAGATCTCCAGGTATCAACAAAACTTGCGGGGTATTTCCCTTATATGTAATTGTCGGTCAAGCGAATCGGCGATTAATGGGACGTAGATTTTTGTGGTATACCTGTACTGTATATTCATATTCTAGAGAAAATTTTCCTCAAATTCCTGGTTAATGTACCATCTTTCAGTACTACCAACAATTTTGTGAGTTGCTGTCATCCAGATGGCTGTGATGTGTCATGCTATTTTCTTATCATTTTTGTGCTATTTTCCCTTTTTTGTACCTTTCTCTTTATTTTTCAAGGAATACTCACACACTGTACATGTCTTGTTTGCATTTAGTGAGTAAAATCTTTTCACTGTTCAGTAAATTTTGGGGGCCTCCAGTCCTTACCCTAACCCCTTACAGTGCTTTGTATTTAATTACACATCTTTTTTATCACAATTTAATTATTTAGTGAACATTCTCAGTTCCCATCTCACGAACTAACTCGAGGCTACTGCATTTCCCAGTGTTTCGCACCAAAGAAGTTGCAAATGTGTGTAGATTTGGCATATTTTATTCCACAACTGAGTGGGCCATAACTGGTAAACCATAAATTGAAAATCCATGGATGAATCGACTGGCACTATTTGCCACATCTGCAAATTACTGACAATGTTTATCATTGTATTATTTCCTCCCAAAAAATTCACTTGAAAAATTCCATCATACAGATCACTGAAAAGGAAAAATAAGGACTGAATATGCAGCTGTGGTATCATGACTCACTTCATAACAAGTAACCAATCAACATACAGCATTCAAATTGGATCAGTTGCGAAAGAAGGCAAATAGGAGTAGAGCTGATAATGAAGTGCATAAAAAGTATCCCTGACAGAGAGAAAAACTACTGTGCTGTACTGTACAGGGGGTCCCCGACTTACGAACGAACGGGGTTAAACTTGGAATTTACAGTATTTTATTTACCTGATGACTTATTTTTTACTTACATTTACTGTATTTTGTCATTCTATTTCTTCTTTTGTCTTAAATTAAGAGATTTTAGATGTATATAAGGATTTGGGCTATGATATACTGTAGTGAGATTTTAAACATATTTCTGTAAGCATGGTATGCACATAGCACGTGTTCAGACTTGCATACAAATCCGAGTAAGAACGTCCTCAGGAACAGAACCTGTCCGTAACCCAGGGATCCCCTGTACTAGCACTTATTAATTTTTCTCCATATTAAAATAATTGAGATAACCGTATGTTTTCCATAAGCTTCTTTATTATCTTATTTTTTTCTAAGTAGTTAGTATTTGTAAGTTAACTAAAATTATAAGGAATTTTGAAAAACGTCAAACACATTAAAAAACAAATTTACATTATATTCAAAATAAGTACTATACATCAGTTACACCATACTGCAGTCTTCATCATTTTGTAAACATGCGAAGCCAATTCAACTTTTGCCAATGGCAATACTGTATTGCTGTATAAGGCTTCTGTCCAACTTACATTGATATTAATTTATGACGCCTTAGCCCAAATCAGGGATTATTTTTCAAATATACAGTAGAATCCCAGTTATCTGACACCTACGGGGATTGAGAGTTGGCAAATAGAGTTTTCCAGTCAGTTGAACCTCACTCTTAGGATCCCCCAATAAATTCTTCACTGCACAGTTTTACAAGCTGACCTCACAAATTCGTGTCTCAGAAAAATAGACTTCTTTAACACTTATTCCACTTTAAACAAATGATATGGCTTATAAATAAAGAAAATATAATATAAAATTAAAATAGGAAAAATAAAGAGCATGGGTGTGTATGTACGGGAAGTGAATGTGTGTGGAGGAGGGCTATAACGACGCCGTCGACTCACCAGCCAGGCTGCCATGTTTATTGTTACTTGTAATGACACTATAAAAGTTGTTGAAAAATCATTAAAATAATTTTATGTAGCTTCAAAATAAATAAAATATAATATAAAACAAGAAAATATAGACCATGGGTGTGAGAAGTGAACATGTGTGAAGGAGGTTATAGTCAAGGCCTTGGTTATAACTATGTATCTGACTTGCCATACTCATATAATGTTACTTGTAATGAAACTAATAAGTTGTCAAAAAATCATTACAATAACCTAATGTGGCTTAGAAAAAGGAAGAAATAATATATAAGAAAAATGAAGAGCATGGGTGTGTGTGGCCATGTTCCCTCCCTGCTGCAGAACGGCAGCCACATGTCTGTGGGTCATCTGGTTGACTGCTTGGTTGAAGTGGGTCGTGTCACCCAGTAGATGGTTTGAGTGTGGAAGGAGCTATTTTTGGTACATAAATTACAGTACAGTATATGCAATTGTATTTTATGATATGCGATGCATCAATTTTATTGTTTATCATAGCAATAAATATGGTAGTTCATCCTTGTTGTGTGCGGTATTCAAACTAACGGTACAAGCAGATTTTGGAGGAATTTTTATTTTTATTATTTCCTTTGGTGCCGGTTAGTTGAATCTACTGGTTGCCTGGATACCGGATAACTGGGATTCTACTGTTAAACAATATTTAACAAGTGATTGAAATTATATAGGAATAAATTTAAAAGATATTGAAGTCCAAAGCATAAGTTAGTGTAGATGGGTTGGGTTGGCAGGGATGAAGTGGTTGAGGAGGGCAGAGTTGGCTGCAGTGGATTATTTGGGGTAGGTAGGGTTAGTTTGGGTGGGGTGGGTAGAACTGGATTAGACTGAGTTGGGCTATATTAGGTAAGGTGGGATTGAATTTGATTAGGCTGAATCGGTCTGGGTTGGGTTGAGTTAAGTTAAGTAACTAATTCCTTCGTCTTTTATTCGAAGTTGGGGTGTGGGCCGGAGAAGACGGCTTAGAATCCCGTCCCCTTTTTCCTGGTTTTCGTGGGGTATCATCATCATCATCTCGCAGTTCACGTGCACGTTCACGTCTCACTCCTGAGGGCAAGTAATCAATACAGTACTGTATATGAAAAACAACAAAGTGAATTTTAAACAAACTCAATATTTATATGATTTTATCACTCAAATTGCAGATATAAATTTAGGTGAAAATTTGGGGAAACTATGCTCTTACAGTACAGCAAATAAATTTACTTTGGTTTTATTGGTATTGTTTTGACAGAATGTTGTTAACAAATTAAGGAACACTTTTCTCTAAAAATCCTGCCTGTCCAATAAAATGCTAAATTATGACAACCACTTACTAGATCCAAAGTCATGTGGCACCGTTGCTAAAAGCTGTGTTCAAAACAGCAACGCTGCTCCCTCAGTTGCCAAATCCGCCTCAGTCAGAGAGCATTATTGTACATGTATAATATTCCTTGTGATTATTTTTATGCAAATCTTTCAAAGGCCCCTTAATCATGGGTGGAAAATGTTCTGCAGGTACCCCTGCAAATACATCCACAAAGGTGTACTCAATCATGGTTTTATTTTGGTGAGTACCCACCAATGTATCTGTATTTACCTAATTTTGTATTTATGCATTTTATTTTATATAAATTTGTCTCTAATATTAAGCTAAATGAGGTTAAAATTGGATTAAAGTGTTTGAAAATTTGGGCTGGGTATGCATCTCCTAATAATAATAGTAAGATTATGGGAAAAATGAGTCTGATGTATGTCAGTCCTACTTATGTCGAGTTTTCTTCAAATACAAACCTGATGGAAATCAGTGACTTGCTGTACAATGTCCGCATCAAGAACTCATCACACTCCATCCCAATAGTAAAAATGGCTTATGCAGTTTTCACACGATAGTTTTTTATATGTTATTGTCATCTACTGTAGGTGTGCAGTTTGCTAGATTCAGATCCCACATCCTAATCTAACCAAACTCAATTAATACAATTCACAGGATCAAGGTCTGTGTATAGCTGCTAAATCATACAGGGTCAAAGTCCTATGCCAATATTAACATTTTATTAAACACACATGCACACACAAAAAAAGCAACAGCTTCTTGCATCTTGTGGCTTAAGGAATGAAGTTCTTTCTAAATTTACAGTTTGTAATCCGAGTGTCCATTTGCTTATGATAGAAGCATGAATGAAGATGGCGACTATACAGGAGAAAGTTCAGTGTGTTGATTTCAGTGACAACTGTTCAATGAAATTATTACAGTTAATATGGAGAGGTTCCTCCCTTCAAACCCAGCATCAGCAGGTGGTTTCACAAATTTCAGGAGACAGGAAGTGTGATTGATTTGCCTTGAAATGGACACCCAGGTATTTCTGAAGACACCATTGCTAATGTCCAAGAGACATTCCAACACTGCCCTTGAGTCTATTCATCATGCTTCAAGTGAACTGCAGATACCGAGATCAAAGGTACACAAAGTCATACACAAGAACCTACACCTTTAAGCCTACAAAGTGCAAATAGTCCTAGCTCTACAACTTAATTAGAAGCCTCAGTGCTTTGAGTTGGCATGTTCCATACTGACCTCAATTCATAAAGACAGTACAGTGGTCCCTCGGTTAACGAACGGTTCGGTTAACGAATTACCTTCCATAAGAATCTTCAATTCGGTTAACGAACAAAAATTTGATTAACAAAATCCTTAAGAAAATCACGTTTTGTTATGAGTATCAGCTGATCAGCTGATGGGCTAGTCTGCCAATTCAGTAATCTGTACTATGTTTACATTCATTTCCAATAGAGCAAATATCAATAAAGCTGTGCTCTTTAATATTTTTGCATGTTTTATATTAAAATTATTAGTCATTTTAACATTTATTTAACATATTGATAATATATGCAGTACAGGGAACTAGTTTGTTGTGCGCCCATCAGATGCATGAGTCGGTCACAAGGCGTCAGTTGGAATTTGAAAACAGTGGAGAGAGCATCTATTTTGTTGGTGTCTTGAATATTTTTGCATTTTTCATTGAAATTATTGGTGCACTTCCTCACTGGAGTTCTTCGACTAGATCTTGTCTGGCACGAGAATTGGCTCCCGAAGTCTCTTGATGTTACGCCCTTAGACTTCTTCTTGTGGGATATGTCAAGGATTATATTCTCCAGACTCTGCTACTGACACTTAAACATTTGATACAAGGACAACCAATGACACCAGAAGAGTGACGAAGGACATGGTGGCCAACACTTGGACTGAAGTTGGGTATCAAAAGGCTGTGCTGCAGTCCACATGATAAGGTGTACTGAGAAGCATATAAAATTAAATTTATTAAGCAATAAAATATAAAAAACTATATTACAGTAAGTTCTCGCTTAACATCATGGTTCCGTTCCTGAAAACCGGAACATTAACGGATTCAATTTTCCCCATAAGAAATAGATAAAATACCAGAGTTACATACCTGAGCCCCCCTTTGCCCCATGAAATACATTACATATACAGAAATTCAATGACATTTTTATAGAAAATCGTATACAGTGGGGTATGCTATAACGAACGGATCCTACTACGAATATTCCTATAACGAACGGTTTTACCTATAAAATTGAGAATGCTATAACGAACGCGGATGAATACGGGACTATTTCGTCTGGCGCATGAATATTGTTGTACCGCGACCCACAACAAGAGCGTCAGGCGCCATCTTTGTCTCATTGTGTAGCCAGTGCACCACTGTTATTGCTAAAATTCGTCTTTTGATGTGGAAATACGAGTTATTTGTACAGTGAACTCTCGCTTTGCGCGGTTTCACTTTACTCGTTTCTACATTTACGCGGTACCCTGCCAGAACCGGAATTCCCACTTTACGCGGTGCATCTACTCATATACGCGGGTGAAGTATAATTTTTTTATTTAGCTCATAAAATTCATACAAATTATCCGGCTAGAATATAATTTACATTGCTGGAATTCTTACAATTTGATGATCATTTTGAACATAAGCATCATAGATTTTGCATTAGACATACAAATTTTAGATCTACTCTAAGTATTTTGTTTACTCTGAGTAAATATGTTATCTTTTGTGCAAAATATATGAAATTTATATTCAAAATATTCCTGGTCTTACAAAGAATCCAGCAATGTCAATTATATTATCCTAACTTTAGTTTGAGGTATTATTTATTACTATACCTTAAAATCTAGTGGTTTTCCCCCAAACATTTCTCAGAGAGGGAAGAGCCAGGAGTGTGAGAAGAGAGGGAGGGAGTTGAGTCCATTATTTGAATGGACATTAACTTGGCGACTGTATTTCTCTATTTCTCTTAAGTATTAATTGTGTGCATGTACCATCATAAAATTAAGATGTTATTTTTACTAGAACATAGGTATTGTGTTGGAAAAAGTGGAGTTTGGGGGTCAGCCGGTCTCTATTTCATTTAATCCCATATGTTATGTTGTTCACTTTACGCGTTTCTCGCTTTACGTGGGCCTCCGTGGGTTCAATTGACCGCGTAAAGTGAGGGTTCACTGTATAAATATTTTGTTATACAAGTGTACAATTGTAACAATGAATCGTCCAAAGTGAGTGAGAAAGCTCATAACTCTTGAAACTAAGAAAGAAATCATAAAGAAACATGAGAATGGAACAAGCATTGCGAAACTTAGTGATGAGTATGGGATGGCTAAATCGACTATATGTACGATTTTCAAGAATAAAGAGTTGAAAACTGTGCAAGTGGCTAAGGGAATCTCTAGACTTAGCAAAGCAAGGTGTAATGTGAGTGAGGAGATGGAAAATTTACTCTTAGTGTGGATAAAGGAGAAAGAAATGGCAGGTGGTAGCATTAGTGAAGCTATAATTTGTGAGAAGGCCAGACAATTGTTTGAGGACCTTAAAGCCAAGACTCCCAGTGGAAGTGATAGTGATGTGCCAGTGTTTAGGGGTACCAAGGGATGGTTTACTGGTTTCAGAAGGACAAACAAATTACATTGTGTTGTGAGACATGGTGATGCTGCTAGTGCAGATAAGGAAGCAGCTAAGGAACACCATGAAATTTTTTTGAATGTGATTAAAGAGGGAGGCTTTGTTTCTCAGCAGGTATTCAACTGTGATGAAACTGGACTTTTTTGGAAAAAAATGCCTCACCGTACATACATTACCAGGGAGGAAACTTCTGTCCCTGGCCATAAGCCAATGAAAGACAGGCTTACCCTCCTTCTTTGTGCTAATGCTTCTGGTGACTGCAAAATAAAACCACTCCTTGTGTACCATGCAGAAAACCCCAGAGCTTTCAAAAACATTAGGAAGAACCGCCTTGGTGTTATGTGGCGGTCAAACCCAAAGGCTTGGGTGACCAGGAGTCTTTTCTCTGAGTGGGTGATTGAGGTGTTTGGACCCAGTGTTCGGGAATACCTCAGGGAGAACAATCTTCCACTGAAAGCTTTGTTGGTGATGGACAATGCACCAGCCCACCCTCCTAATTTGATGGTTGAATTGCCAGAGGAGTTCAACTTCATCACTGTGCACTTCTTGCCACCCAACACAACACCTCTCATCCAGCCCATGGATCAACAGGTAATTTCCAACTTTAAGAAGCTGTACACAAAGGCACTGTTTTGAAAATGTTTTGGGTCCACTTCTTCCAGTGATGTTAGTTTGAAGGAATTTTGGAAGTCACTTCAATATAGCAGATGCTGTGATTTTAATTGCGTCAGCCTGGAAAGAGGTTACTATGAGGTGTCTTTGTGCTGCTTGGAGGCCATTGTGGCCTGAATGTGTGCTTCAAAGAGACTTTGAAGGCTTCGAAGAGTTAGAGGAAGAGGCTGTTGTACATGAAATTGTGTCTCTGGGCAATTCCATGGACCTGGAAGTGGATGATGATGATGTTGAGGAGTTGGTGGAAGAGCACAGTAAGGAGCTGTCCACTGAGGAGGTGCTTGAGCTTCACAAAGAAGAAAATGAGACACTGAAGCGGAGCTTAACTTCTGAGGAGTCAGGGGAGGATGAGGACAAGGAGGAAAGCTGCATCATTCCAGCCAAAGATCTCAAGGATGTGTTCTTTTGCTGGAGCAAACTGTCTGAGCTTGCTGAGGATTATCATCCTGATGTTGGTTCTGTGGAAAAGACCATCAGTGTGTTTAATGACAATGTGATGAACTACTTTTGGAAGGTCCAGAAATCAAGGTTGAAGCAGCCAACCCTGGATTCCTTCCTTAAAAAAGTAGCAAAAGAACCTACAGACAAAGTGCCTGTAAGACAGTCACCAAAGAGGGCTAGGAAGGATGACTCCTCTCCTTCCACCTCTTCTCCATAATTCTCTCCTCCCCCCTCCTCCTCTGCCTCCTGTCCTGCATGCTGAACAACACTAAGGTAAGATAAAGTACTGTATTTTTTACATTTTCCACAGAAAATTTTCAGTGTTAAGTGGTTGTATTTGGGGGCCCGGGACGGATTAATCCTATAACGAACGAGGTTCTAGAACCAATTAGATTCGTTATAGCATACCCCACTGTATACTACAGTGATATCTCCATTAGCCGGAACAAATGGTGCAGAGCACTTCTGGGAATGACAGATTTCTGGATAACGAGAAGACTCTCTCAAAGCCGGAAAAAAATACCTCATCCCCGGAACTTTCCGGATAATGGAAAAATGTTCTCGGAAGTTCCAGAAATTCCCCATTACATCATCTCTCGAACCCGGATAAAAATCCCCCATCTCCGGAATTTCCCAGGTATCGGTAAAATTTTCTCAGAATTTTCCGGAAAATGTGCCCCATGGAAAATCGTTCCCAAAGCCGGAATTTTCCGGAAATTTATTGCTTTGGGTAAAATTTTCAGAGAAATTTTCAATTTCAGCTATCGGAGAGTTCCGTGTTTGAGAGATTCCAGCTAACGGAGATATTACTGTATATATAAATAAACTAAATCATTTTGTATTGTACTCACTGATGGACGGAGGTGGTGGAGCGAGACTGGTGGGTAGTGGAGCAGGCGGGAGAGGAGGAGGGTGGCTAGTCACTGAGGGTCGGCGGGTGGCTCCTTCTCCAGATTTAAAACCTCCATTTTTGTAGCAAGGCTAATGGTCTTACATTGCTTCTTCACAACACTAGCATCAGTAGCAATTGATGGTGCTTGGAAGCCATTTTGAATTGTTAGAGTACAGTATTAAGAGCAAAAACTCTTAAACACGCACAAACGCTGTGGAAGCCTAACACAGACTAACGCCGCTTGGGGACACTGTGACGTTCTGCGAGTGAGAGGTAGCGCGCCATGACCAGAGAGGGTGATGCACCGTAAAAAGTAGTCTGTGATGACGCTAAAAACGACGTTATATTGAGTCGCCGCAACGTTAACCGAATTATTGGTAGTAACGACGTTATAACGAAACAACGTTATCGGGGGCAACATTAAACAAGGACTTACTGTACTCCCTCTCATTTGGTTTTGCTGTAATAAAATTATAAAATTGGAACAGGACTTTGTGGACATCCTATACATAAGCAATCACAAAATTCCCAAACTCAAAGTCGTATGTTGCTCCACCTAGCAGTTTTGACACAGCATAATTTACACCCACCTTTTCAAATTTCTATGCACCTGTAGTATACTCAATCACCCCCAAAGCTGAAACTGTTAAAGCTTTCACACTAAGCAAGCAGCATGCACAATAAATTTTATACTTGTATACCATGAGTACAAGCAGACAGACAGACACACCCTCCCACTATTTTCAGTCAAGTAGGGAAAGTAGGGGAGGATAAAAACAGACTAATTCCTTCACCTTCATCTTTGTAATCCTTGTCAGGGTCTTTCTTTGGCGGTCGACCTCGCGCACGAATTTCCTTTTCATCTTTGTTATCTTCTTTTATATCTGGCTTACTTCGTTCATCTAACAAATCAGAAAATTCCACTTCTGGTAAATTGAATTCATTTTCATCATTTGGGAATGGTAATTTATCAGATTCATCCTGAAAGAAAGCAGACAGTGTATCAGGAGCAAATCTACCAAAGTGATCCTTTGTAATTCACAACTACACTAACTGGAAAAAAAAAAATTAATAATTTTACAGTACGATTTGCAAAGAGTAGTAACATCAAATTTATACCCCCCTTACAAATATCCAGTATTCATGGGAAAAAAAAAAATGCACACGCATGCGCACACACTCATGGAGCAGAACCATATACTGTATGCTACTTTGAAAACTTAAAATACCTCAACTTTCTGGGTGGGGGGTGAAAAATTAACTCTTACCTGTTATCTAACCTATTATTCCATATTTCGTCCATCATACAAAAGGGCCGCTGGATTTATGGAAATGGCTACTTCAAACAGCAACACTAATGTCAGTAGCCTAATAGCCCACACTTGGAGTTAATTTATATTTTTTGTTTACTATAGTTTTCTGAATACTACACCATAATGGAGAATATAATTTGCAATGCTGGAATCCTTGCAAGACAGCGAATAATTTGAATATACAGTAAACGTCATATATTAAGAGATAAAAATTAATCACCTGTATCACATTACAGTGGTGATTTAAGAGTAAGAGTGTATATGTACGTACGTATATATATACAGGTAGTGATTTAAGGGCGATTTAGGGGAATTTTAGGAGTATTTCTGACTTTGTGTGTTTTTGGCTTTACTGTGTATGTACTTTTCTGTGAGCTGGAACCAATTACCCAATATCCCATTGAAATAATGGATTCAGTTCATGAAATTTTTGGTTAACGAACGACTCTGTGGAACGAATAGTGTTCGTTAACCAAGGGACCACTGTACTATAAACTAGTGCAGTACAGTACTCAAAAAATAATAATTATTGATGACCCAAGTGACACTCTAAGTGAATCATCATCAAACCTAGAGCTTTAGTTGCCCCACTGGGCAAAGTACTTGTAGTGAAAGATATCGTAACTGTCAAGTACCAGTTCCATGGTTCAGTGCACATGCCTGTGCACCTGAGGTTAATAGCTGTCCACATCAGCTATGCACACCCTGCAAGATCTTGAACAACAGTCTACCATCTCTACAACCCTTCAACAAACCATCTCACTTCAAAACGCCCATATGAAGAGTCTATTCTGCACGTAATTCACTTCGAGGGAAAGCTACCTACATCTCCTGAAGACATCGGGAAGAATGTACGCTCTCATCGGCATCAAAAACATGGTCTATTTAATTTTGTTGGGTTAATATGTAACACCCTGTTTGTTATGGCAAACACAGAAGATGTAGCTAAACTAGGGAAACGAATGAACGCAGTTTCAGAAGTGGTCATGAAACAGAATAGGGCCATTGTGCAGTCCTACAAGACAGTACAGACTCTGAACTCTCAGATGAATACTAATCAACTAACACATATTGTCCTTGGATTCACAATGTCAGTGCCTATACTAGAATGGCTACTCTGCTTTACAGAATATATGCATGCAGCTGAAGCCTCTGTGCATGCTCTCACAGTTACCCATGATAGGCTCATAGCTGATTTAGTGAATGAAGATTTAGGTCGTGTTTATGCTCAACTGTTGCCGGTTGGTCAACTTATTGCCGCTTTACATATACTGTAGTTGAAACTGACTATCATTTAACTCTTATTGTTCAGGAGCACGACGTGGAATACTATTACCCCTTATTGGAGGCATCCTTAACGCATGCAGAAATACTGATACACATTCCACTAAAATCAAAGTAGTAGTTTAATGCATGGCATTTGGAACCATTTCCAGTGAAGGCAAATGACGATCTTTTGGTTCTTAACAGACAAGCTGAACTAATAGTGATTTCAGAAGATTTTTCATTAGATACTGTGACTAAGCATGAAGTCCTAAATCTTTCTAAGTCAACATGCTTACACTTTCATGTATGTCCTGCTTATGCTTTCGCTTTCACCCGGGCTGCAGAAGCTACTTGTGAACTAGCTATAATACAAATTAATGCTTCTACAGCTCTGCAGCAATGTGAATATGCACCCATGTCAATAATGTGCAATATTTTTATTTCCCAGAGCAAACCAGTGTAATACTCATATACCAGGGTGAAGGTAAACATTTAGTAGTAGAAAGTTACCATATAGCACCAGACTATTTTAAGCTCAGCAGTAATGCAATCACAACCTTGCCTACTCACCATTATCTTGCATTTGCATCAAACATTACTTCTGAACTGGTACCCATACCATTTTTACTGAATATTAATTTCAGCAGCCTTCATTTTGTCTCTGATAAGCTTAAACCTTTGTCTTACAATAATGAAACACAGTTTCCTGCATTACAGGATTCTCTTCCATTTCATTTATCTTCTGGAGTAATCCTACATGGTTTTGTCATACCTACCATTTTATTTGTCATTTCCTTGACTCTTATATTATTTTTACAGGGAAATGTCCTCTAGGCACACAATAGTTTCCAAGAAATCTTTCCAAAAAGCATTGAAAAAGCATGTGCAAAATGAAACAGTTTGCCTAACGCACACTTAATTGTAACATGGTTAGGTATACCGATGATTTAAACTGCGAGACTCGGTTGGTGATGGCCGAGTGATGTAACAGCTCCTTTGCTTTATATATATATACAACCTAATGAACAACACCAAGTTATTCATCAAATTATTCATCAGGTGATTCACCATGTTGTTTATGACTAGATCACTGAGGTAACATCTATCACAGAGGTCAAGCCAGTGTCAGCTGATTCAGTAAACTCCGCTCGCTAGCTACCACTCTCACGCCACAGAGAGGGGCAGTTCACCTCATACCACAGACAGTGAAGTTCACACTTAACAGAAGTGTTATCTCAAAGTGATATTCACAAAACTTCCCTGGAGAAAATTCACAATATATCCTCTCAGATTATATCAGTGCATACAGTATACTTGCTTTCAGCAATAAAACAGAAAATGCCAAGAAGTGTTTACATCAAGCCCTGCCGCTTAAGAGTTCCAGAACTTAGTTAAAACAATTAGTGTGATACCAAAACAGCTATCACATTTTTTTTCAACTTTTTCTATAATTTCCAAACTTTTTTCCAATTGATAGCTGCACTCTTTTGACTTTCGTCCCCACACCACTTCCTTTCTGAGACTTCTGAGACTCTTTCAGCATGATGTCTAAGCACAGTAGTTAGTTGACCGAGATGTAGACCAGGAGGTAGCAGTGAACAACACACACGGTGGCGGTAGGACACAGACTGAGCGGATGTAGACAAACCCCATGCGCCAAGCGGCACATTTGGCGAGGAATATAACAGAATCACGCTCAATTTAGTGAACTAGTTTGCTGAATCGTGCAACAATAACGGAAAGTTCGATTTAATGGAGAGGGGTGGCTCGAATTAGTTTGTTAAAACAAGAAAATACTGTAACAGCAAAATTATTTATTGTCTCAAATAGTAAAATAAATCCACGATTATAAAAAACTAGTCAACTAAAGATAAAAATAAAAGACACATAGCATTACACATGTTTATTCCGCAGACATAATGTTGTCTCTGCTCACATTAGGTTAGGATACAGACTTATCTGGCAAGTGTCTGTAACTGTCCCAATGCTGACACCCTTCAACACTATTGCCATGACTGTCCCACTGTCAGGGACCTCCTACCCTAGGACGAGTCACTAAACACTACGTATATGTCACCACTACCTAGTACAGTCAGTTCTCCTATAACGCGATAATTGTGTTCTTGTAAAACATCGTGTTATAGAAATTTGCGTAATAGAAATAACAGGGCTTATGGAGAAAATAGGGTTAGGTGCAGATTACTACTCGAAATCGAAAAAAATTTAGTAGTTAGCCTAACACAAAGGATAGCACAGTCTAAATAAATGTTACATTCATATCTAATAATGAAATCATACAGTAAATGTAACACTTTACCTTGAAAAAAATATGAATATAACTTGATGGGGGAGAAGGGTGATTTTGAGGTTGATAACATCGAGCTTCTCTTCAAGTGTTATAGCCTTTCTTTTACGATCATCACCGGGAATGCGATCACCAGAACGCTTCTTGGAGATATTCTTCTTTACCATATTCACAGTTAATACCACAAAATTGGAGAAATAGTAAGCAAAAATCGCGTTACAGCAAACAAGCGTTAGCGTTTTACAAATATCCTTCCTCTATTCATAAATCACATTAGAGCCAATTGCATTGTCAAAACAAGCATTAAAGCAGAACTCACTGTACTTATTTGTAATACAGTGAACCCTCGCTTTACGCTTGACGTTTACGCAGTACCCTGCCAGAACCGGAATTCAGAATTCCCACTTTACGCAGTGCATCTACTCATATACGCAGGTGAAGTATAATTTTTTATTTAGCTCATAAAATTCATACAAATTACCCAGCCAGAATATAATTTACATTGCTGGAATTCTTACAATTTGATGATCATTTTGAATATAAGCATCATAGATTTTGCATTAGACATACAAATTTTAGATCTAATGCAAGTATTTTCTTTACTCAGAGCAAATATGTTATCTTTTGTGCAAAATATATGAGGTGTATATTCAAAATATTCCTGGTCTTGCAAGGAATCCAGCAATGTCAATTATATTATCCTAACTTTAGTCTGAGGTATTATTTATTACTAAAAATGTAAATATACTGTTATAACCCAATCATTTCTCTGGTAGGGAGAGAAGGTGGGGGTGAGGGGTAGGGAGGGCGGGAGGGACTCAGGGAGCAGGTGGGAAGAGGGGGGGGAGGTGGGGTATTTTGATTGACAGATAGTATTTGGGTAAGTATATTTTGTTTATTTATTGAAGATATTTGTTTTAGCTCATAAAATTCTTACAAATTACCGGGCCAGAATATAATTTACATTGCTGGAATTCTTACAATTTGATGATCATTTTGAATATAAACATCATAGATTTTGCATTAGACATACAAATTTAGATCTACTGTAAGTATTTTGTTTACTCTGAGCAAATATGTTATCTTTTGTGCAAAAT